GTTCTTGGTTGGACAAAGGCTAGGGAAGCAAATCCAAAAAGAAAAGCAGGCTGAAATCGGAGTCTATGGCCTCAATGGCGCATAAACAGTTGACACGTAACGCTTAATTGTGTTGGAGGCGTGGTCGAGTCGGCAAAAAGCTCATGGTTGATAAATTCGAACAAAGTCTCGAGTTCAAACCCACTGGCAGATAAATCTCGATCCCCTTCAACACTAATAATTAAGAACGAAGAAAAAAGAAGAAGAAGACTACTTCCGGTCGACGGAAATTACTTAACATTTTATAGAAGGCAGAGAATTAGAACTTTTACTTACATGTGAAATTTCATTTATCTATCTGAAATAGTACTCAAATTATAGGCTTTTGAAAAATTCAAAGTAAAAAAAAAACAATTCCGGTTATCGGAAATCGCTTAAAAATTGATTCAGATCTACAATTTTGATATAATACTTTTATTTGAAATTACATCAGCCTAGCTGTAACGGTACTTAAGTTATCTTGTTTACATACACACACACATACACACACACGCACACAGACATACGGACAAGATTGCAAAACTATGTTTTTCCGACTCAGGGAGCCCTAAAACGTCGAGATTTGGAAAAATCTCGATTTTTTTTTGGACGATTACAAGACTTTCTTTATACTTCGTATATACGAGAAAGTAAAATAGTTAAACATTATTTAAGTATAAAGTCCTACACTATAAATTGAGATATATTCCACCTAACTAAAACAGTACTCAAGTTAAAGAGTTCACATTCGGTAGAATGCTCCACATACAATATGATACATGTGAATGAAATTTCGTCTACCTAACTTAAATGGCGTCCTAGTTATTGACTTTTAAAAAACCAGAAGTACAGTATGCGCCACTTTCGGTGCATTTGATACAGAACTACAGAACTAAAATTTCGTCAACCTTGCTGAAACGGTACTAAAAAAAATCGCCAACATACAAACACGTTTGCAAAACCATTTTTTTTTTCTGTCCGGAAGGGTGAAAATGTCAAAAATTGAAAAAAATCTATAGTTAAATTTTTCGAACTTTTTTTTACGCTCTTTATGTTCCGTATATGATAAAGTAGGTTGTCAATGGTAAAATGTACAGTAATACCGTAAGACTGATAATAGTCAGCAAACTAATTAATACAACCGGTTGGAAGGTCTGTGCCACTTCTTTAGCGGGATTAAGATAAAAGTATAGTTAAAATATGTAGTCGACTGTCTCGTGAACTAAGTCACGGACAGGGAAAAGTAATAATCATGTTTCAGCAGCTACCGCGGTAAGCTTCAATTTAATGCACAATTATAACAACCTTGTCGGATAACCACTTGACTCTGACAACGGTTTACGACCGGCAGTGGTGTAGCCAGAAACTGGTCATGGGAGGGGTTAGAAAATGATTCCATACGTATATAATCCTATATATATATATATATATATATATATATATATATATATATATATATATATATATATATATGACTAAATACGTATATATGACTATATATATATATATAAGATCATATATATATAGGGGTCGGGGTCCATGGGAAGGGTTGTAACCCCCCTAACCCCCCCTCCCCCCACTTTCCTACTCCACTGGCGACCGGTGAGTACAACTAATAAACATCTAACATAACTACGGGTCAACTAAACGACCGCAACTTACGGCTGTGGTAAAATAGAACTATAAGTTACTTAAGACGCAATGTTAACTGGCTTTAAAAATTATCTGAGAATGTAAGGAGTAAAATTTGATGTCACATTGCATAGTAATTGAGTAGTTACCTATGTGCTAGGTTTCAGAGAAATTGGTCTGTTTCTATCAGGGTGGCTGACTACAGTATAACGCACCAACAAATGCAGGAGGGAGCTAATTAAAAAAAAAAGATTGTAAAAAATATTAACGTGTTACAGTTAAAGTTGAAATGTTGCTCATTAACTGCCCCTGCGCCCAACAACGATACAAGCCTGGTCAGCCTCCTCTCAGATTCAAAGATATATTTTTATACCAAACTGTTTATTGACATAAGTAAAACATATCATGTGTTGATCCATCACATGAGCAAAACGTTTGTGTCTCGGTCGTTACGTTACGGACACTTACACTTTATAAATTCCTCGCTGTGACCTCGGCAAAGAAGAGATAGTTTGGTCAGCACTATGCCCAACCGCCTTTACTTGCCCTAACGTGAGTTAGGTATCCATCAGAGTTGGGTGGACTCAGGGACGGTGAACTGACTTGAACACGGATTCGAACTCGGGACTTACGGAATAGCAGTCCAGCTCTCTACCGATAGACCACTCAGTCGAGTTTGAAGTAATTGTAATTTTACTCGTGTAACAAATTTAATCGCCTCTAGAATAATATTGTTAAACATATTGTAAGAACGCGAATGGAATAAATACGCATTTTGTTTTCGCCACACTATAGTATACCACTTTACACCGACTCTAACGATTAAGTGAATCGGATCCATTCCCAACAGTTCTGACCGAATTTCCAAGTTTACCGACATGAACACCATTTAGGTTGGGTATGTCCTCTTCGATAGCACAAAGACTCTTCTTTAATAATAAGCCTTTTATATGGCTGAGCGAACCTGCTTTAAGCATTCAGCCCTCCACATAAATTGTGTGTTTGATCTTTTATGTACACGGCGGTTTAGTGGCCTAATCCGTGATCATAACCATATCAATAGCTTTTCATGTCCCGGAAATCCCAAAGAAAACGTTACAAAGAATTGAATAAACATGTGTGTATCCGTCATATACGTAACGTTCAGAAATCGGTTAAACATTCATTTTATAGTTGTAGCAACAACTTTTTTGAACAAGAATTTAAACGATCAATCCACATTAAACAATACAACAAGAAAAAACTTTATATTTGATTGCGAACAGAAAAAAAGAAACGGGAGAGTTTAATGTATATTGAAATAAAGCACCGGATAGTTGTGTTTTTAAGATTAAATCGAGCCTAGAAAGAAAACAGGGATTGAATGAATTTTATTTCTCCTGTAAAACACGCTTCGAAACGCTCCTCTGTGTGTGCAAGGAGGAAGTAGGTGTAAAAAATGTTTCTACTAAATAGGCGATATCTTTTAAAGCATTTATGTACACGTGTTTAAGTCGTGCTTATGTATTGGCTGGTCTACGTCAAGTAATAATAGTAGCAAGCTTTACAATGCCGAAATATCTATCACTTCTCTGCACACCTGATACTTATGTTTGGGTAAAATTTAATATTTATGTAACTGTCTCGATAGCAATAGTATAGATATCCAGTGTAAGTTTAAAGAAGCCGCAATAGTGGCGAGTAATTTTGACCAAGATATGTCTATTAAATTAAGTATGAAAGAACGAAAGAAGTAAAGGAGGAACGAACTAGCAAAAAATGACAGTTTTGCCTTTTTACTTTTTCTGTCAACTTTTTAAACGCTTTCTGAAAACTAAAAAAAAAATAATTAAATGTCCATCGGAACACACTGATTTGAGTACGGATTGAGTTACTTAGACAAAATTTTTCACGTATTAGTGTAAGATCTTATACTTGGATAATGCTTACATTTTGCGTCACCATTGATATCCGTTAGGGATACTCTATGACGATGACGTAGTTATTATCGTGTATTTTTTTCGGCAATGTAATATTTCGCTTTGTTTTGAAAACTTACTTTATGTTCCATCTGACTTCACGGTCTTTCACTATAATATATAGACGAGATAAATTGCCCGTTAAAGGAGAAATACAACGAGCGCAAGGGTTGACACTATTTTTTTAATATAGACATGTTTCCTACTTTTGGCTGCTAAACCTCAATCATAAAGATAATGTTTCTTTCAGATTTTTTTTTCCAGGGGGAGGGGGGTGGGACACTATAAATTTTAAAGGGGGCGGTGCGGATTATATTTTCCGTGAGGGGGGGGGGTGGGCTGACATTTGTAAAAGTATATATTTTCTATATATATTGTATTTCTTGGGGGGGGGGGGGGGGGGGCAGGCGGTAGATGTTTTTCTGCGGGAAAGAATCTCTGCAAGCAGACCCCTTTTAAGATTAAGATTTCTGGTTTTGTATTAGGTAAGTTCTAAAAGCAGAGTGTTAAATTTTTGGGAAAAAAATGACTACATTATCAATGAATGCCTCTATGTTATATGATCCTCAGAGAGAAGACAACCTTTTGTTATTGGTAGACCACCTACTAGGTTGGGTTCGTGATAAACAACAAAAAACATGGCGGAATGAATGATGAATGAAATATCAGGCTCCGGAGGAAGAAAACCAAGCGACAGAACTCATCGTCAGAAGGAAGGGGGGTTATAAATAATTTTCTTATTTGAGTAGAGAGCTAAATGGTGATTTCTTTATCACCGGTGACAAAGCTGACAAGTCTAAGCGTGTGCTATTATAAACAACTGATAATAGTAATTTTTTTGTTGTTAAAGATAAGCAGGCTGGTTCTAATATTCAATTGACGTGTTAGTTTTAATCACCAAACTGTAGGCGACAGAAATTAAAAAAAAAGGAGATATTGACTGTGGTATGATTTTATTAAATAACTGAAGTTAAAAGAACATTTCCGTGATTTTAAGAACCAGTAGTATATAACAGAAAATTATGAGTCTAAAACTGTAGTGAACAATTAACATTATTGTCATTTTGTGAATGAACTATCGTTCAAGAAGAATTACGGTGATTGTCGAACCTGAAAGCTAACAAACAGACGTGTAGATGTAATACTCCAGACCACGCTAACCATCCCCATCAAAACCCCATTTACATACATTATCCTAATATAACCCTGCTATACACCCACCATCCTAATATAAATCCCTCCACGGTTACCATCTTGATATAATCACGTTCTTAATAATCATGATAAAAAGTCAAACCACAATCTTACCTTCACATCCCATACAATGACTAAACTCTTTCAATACTGCTGGCCGAAACAAAACACCTTGATGTTCCTCCTCCCGATCTTTACTCTCCTCTAACTTTTGCTGGCAATCCTTAGCCTAGCCCACCTCTTCTTACTCACGCACTTGCCTAGAATAATCTCCAAGAGTTGGCACCGGATCCTCCATCTCCTGATGGAGTCTTCCCATTACTTCTCCCTCCGCCACTTCAAACACCTCATCTCTGTAGGCATCCTCTTCGCCTGCATCGCTGCATCTGTCGGTATTCGAGGAGGATGGACGCCCTCCGAGTTCAGCGCCGTCGAACGTTATGGACTTGTCATCAGCTTCATCCTCTACATTCTACAAATCTTGCTTCTGGTACCACTTCCGTTTTTTATCTTCAACTTCCTGGGCGTCGTGCTGCTCAATGTATTCCCACAGCGTCCCAAACTCCAGCGTTCACCGCTGATTGGTCCGTTCTTGTGTTTCCGGGTCGTCACCAAGGGACTGTACCCAGAGTTGGTCAACGATAACGTAGAGTACAATATAAAACTATGTAGGAATGTAGGTCTTCATAATTTTATTTTCGAGGTGGTTACCGATATACCAGTTAATCTAAAAACAAACATACAGGCCAGGGAGATTTTGGTACCGGGCGATTATCAAACTAAATTTGGCTCTTTATATAAAGCTCGAGCTCTTCAATATGCATTGGAACCGGAAGTTGATAGTCTTAGCCCCGGAGACTGGATTGTTCACCTGGATGAGGAAACTGTACTGACGGAAGACGCGGTGATTGGTATCGTCAACTTCACAGGCGCCGCCCAATACTCGTTCGGTCAGGGCGTCATCACTTACGGTCACGGCAAGATTGTTAATTGGGTCACCACTCTGGCTGACTCGATACGTGTAGGAATCGATTACGGTTATCTGCGCTTCAGTTTGGGCGTCCTCCACAAGCCGATTTTCAGCTGGAAGGGATCGTTCATTGTCGCCGACGCTGAGGCGGAAAAGAAAATCTCCTTCGACCACGGACCGGAAGCGTCCATCGCGGAGGATTGTTTCTTTGCGTGTGTGGCCTTTAGCCGCGGGTACAGCTTCGGTTTTGTCGACGGGGTAATGCTGGAGAAAAGTACCTTCACGCTCAGTGATTTCATGCGACAGCGGCGGCGTTGGGTGCAGGGCATACTACTTACCGCTCTGAGCAAGAAAATACCGTGGCGATTTAAGATCGGACCTGTTTTGATGAGCTTCTCAAGCTGCACGTTACCATTCAACATTCTATTGGTTCCTGTCAGTATACTATGGCCCATGCCATCATCCCCTTTTCTTATGTTTACGTACAGCTTCAACATGGGAACAGCTATATACCTCTTTATCTTAGGAACAGTACAGACATTTTGTATACAGAAATATGGCTGGTGGCGATGTTGTTTATTAGCTTTAGCTACTATATTCTGTGGGCTTGTGGGTGGTGTTCTAGAAAATATTGTATCCATTCTCGTTTTCTGGTTACCTAAGTCGTCGGCGACACATTTCTATATAGTAAAGAAACAAGTTCCTTGTGATTATATTAAAGTCGTATAAATTCATCACGGCATAGTTACTTTAGAAGGTTTTTTTTTAAAAATAACTTTACCTAACTACTTACTCCCATTTAAAAAAAATAAACCACAATCTACTTCCCTGCTTCCCAATCAGCAAAACCTACACACATCGCCCACTACACTCACCTTCCAAAGTCAATCACTCACTCCATATTATACACCCAACTACCAAGCCCATCACACCAACAATCCAACGAATCATATATCACACGAAATAGAATGTAGTAAAGTTGAGTGGAATAAAGTGGGAGTGGGGACTAATAAAATACTAAACAATAGGAAAATACTATGGAATCAAGTACAAACATCTACAGTATAGTAGAATTCATTCGGACAGAGAAAACTGTAGTAAAATGTATTACAATTTATTAGAAAGTATAATACGTTGAAATACAGAAAAACATATCACTTTATAGAAGAGTGTATAAGAGATGTAAAAATAATAGGGGATGATAATAGAAGAGAATAGAGTAGAGTAGAAAATAAAACAAACGAAAAAAAGCAACATACAGTGAACACCTCCTGCAAGAAAGTACTTCGCCAGTGGCTAAAGTTGAACAAAATATTCTCCCCGCCCCTCGGAATAACTCAGGGGTTTTCCAATACGTTAGCTGGCTACATAAAGTTATCCAAGTGAATAGCACGGACTACCCAAAACTAGCCCTACAATAAAAAAGGGGCAATATTTAATTAGGTTTTCATTCAAGTAAATACCTTGTTTTCCGGTCTGAGTTAATTAAATATAAGAAATGTCGGCGATTCCTTCCGTATATTTAGTTATTGGAGCGCAGGTTTATCCACACTACCAACGAGACGCCCCAGGGGCAGACTAAACTTCAGGTTGCGCTGATCACCTCAGTGACGATACGTGTTGGGGGCTCATGGGAGTCGCAGGTTACTTTACTTAAAGTGTGCAATCCCTGGTTAGATTTAGCCATCGAGTGTAGTATAAGACATATCACTCGTGTAGTGCGCACTTTTAAACGAGTGTAGGGCATAACTGCTCACAAGTAAACCAGGGAGCTCCAAATGACACTGTTGTCAGTGGGTTCAAGTAGTAACACAATCTCCCTGTGCAATCCACACAATCAGCATATCCCAAGCGCAAAGACTGGAGATCTAGGTGCTTTAAACCACACATTTCCGTGGGGCGCCGCCGCTCCAATATTTAAACAAATAATAGGCAATTGAAATGAACATTTGCATGGATGTACTTAACAGCTTCTAAAATTTTCATGGCGATCGGATGAATGGTGTAATACATAAAAAAACAGAAACATGTTTTTCACATGTACAACTGTATGCGGCTAGCTCACGCGTCGGATATCCTTTTAGTTAGTGGGCGTCGACAAATAAATGTAAGCTTTTTAACGACTTACAACTCCACGATCCAAACCAAGCCACTCACCATAAATACTACTCACCTGCCTGATATATACACCACACAACACATGGATTTGAAGGGTATAAAATGCAGTAGAACAGAATGGAATGGGTAGATAGATGTATAATGGAGATGTAGTAGCCTGCTAAATAGTTTGAACTGATTATGTCTTTTTTGTGATAATTAACCATTTATTTATTTATTTATTAAATATTTCTTTTAAAAATGAATACGCTTTTTACATTCCATTTAGACAGTCAATTATAGTTTTATCATTTGATATTATTTAAATAATAGGCCTATAACATGAACATGAACATGAACACAAAGACGAACACGAACACGAACACGACCATGAACATGAACACTAATTTGAATTTGTTCTAATGAACAACGTAAACTAAAGTAATGAGAACATTAATTGTTTCACATAATATTATTTTATTTTTTGCGAATTGTAATAAACTTATTATGATTTTGTTATTTGCATTTTACGTTAATGAAAACATTAAGTTTAAAACATTTTTTTAGACATTATTAGTATTGAGTTTCCAGATATCAATGTACATTCACGATCGAAATAGTATTTAACAAATATTAGGCATTGCTGATCAAGTGGGTTTTTAATATATGCAAGTCTATAAAAACAATTCCGTCCGCCACCTACAGACATAGAGACTTTTGACCTTTATTGTATTCAGAAAAACATTATGTTCGGCTTGTTGGCCTCTGTAATCTGTCTACACAGCCATCATACAAACGTTGTCGATGTTATAGATTTTTTTTCAATTGTACTTTTTCCTGAATTTTCTCCTTTTGCTTGGCTTGCTTCTTTTTTAATTTTGCGGTTATTTTAATATAGCTCTAGATGTTATATATATATATATATATATATATATATATATATATATATATATATATGTATTCAATTTTTACTCATATAGTTTCTGAATCTACTATTTATGTATACATTACAATTTATTTTAGAGTTATGGTGCTTCGAATTCACGTTGTAGTGCTTACTATAAACAATCCATTCGTATTAAAATGCTATTTTTATTCTACGTCTATGAATTTTACTTCTTATACTCTTATTATTTAGTATTTATTAAAACACACCTGTTCTTGTTGTTTGCGTCATTTTTGCTGTGTTATCATTTCTTATATAATACGCTTACGTTATTTAGCAAATATATTCTTTCTTATACAGAATTGACATATTAAGAAACTAATTCACCAGATTTAGTTCTACACCAAATGTCGTATGAATATCAAGGCAAAATTAAGCATTCATTTAACTAAACTGAATATACTGTAGCGTGGATTGATATCATGTAACATACTGAAATTTAATACATACAAGTACTCTAGGAATTTATTTTCAAGGGAGGTTAATCAAGCTAGCATGAACGAAAGAGAAAAAAGAAGGCCAGGGTTCTCTTCCGTCCCGTAAATGGAGGGCTTCATTTCTTTTTATTTTGGAATAGGGGCTACATCTAAAATAGTTAGATACATTAGAAATATCTCATTCTTTTTAATGAAAATCAATGTTAGAATTGAGCTCTTCGCTACACGTATTTTAAATATAATCCATCATTTAATTTCAATTATATTTTTTTATAAAATAGAAAGGATGAAAAACAAATTTTAGTTGCAAGTCATATCCAGGAAGATATCTACGAGAAATGATATTTTGTTTATTCCTATTTATTTCTCTTATTTTCATTTTTTTTACCTTCGCTGATTGCACTCGTAAACACATGTATCTATTGTAATTTCACAATTCTGTTCATTTGTCTGTCTATCTACTGTCTAATAAAATCGTTCTAGAGAAAAATTTTAGGAGAGAAAAAAATATATCAGGCAAACATAAGGAAGTCACACGAAATAAATAGGAAGCTTTCGAAATGAAATAGCAAAGTAGGCTAATCAAATAGAACGACGTCATTGATTGTAGAATAAAGAAAATATTTAGAAATCGAACACTGAAAACGATACACAATAATATTGTCGTCGTTAATAGTTGATAATAAAAACATTTAACATCAAAACCATTAAAAACTTAGTTTTGTAATTTTGTCTGAATGTCTGTATGTGTCTGCGTGTGTGTGTGTGTATATATATGTGTGTCAGTGTGTATGTTTGTTTGTCTGTCTGTCTGTCTGTTTGTTTGTCTGTTTGTCTGTTTGTCTGTTTGTCTGTTTGTCTGTTTGTCTGTTTGTCTGTCTGTTTGTCTGTCTGTCATTTATGGTTAAATAATGTTTAGTGAAATTTATTTCCTTGAAGTTTAGGGGTAAGGCTTGGCGTTCAAATTTAAACGAGTAAGCAAATTAAAGTGACCGAAACTGTTTAGGATTAAGAGAAGTTCTACCGCCTGTCTACTCCACCATACACTGGACCTACAAATCCATCAGTATTTTCGGTTACCTCAAGTCGCATGATTTTCAAGGTAAATAAACTCACTTGATAAAATCCGAATTGTCATTGCTATTCCCTATATTATGTTATTTTGTCATGTATACACTTTTCTTATTAAAAGTAATTTCTTTTTTATCAAATTTAATGGAGAAAAATGCTCTAAAATACGAGCAATTTGACATACATGTTACGGAACTATTTAAACTCGTACATTGAGGCATAGTGCATTTTTAATATATTTTTACCAGTGACAATATTTTTTATTTTAAACTAATCGGTGCGTTAGAAATGCTCTAGAATTCGCTCACCGGTTTTGACCCTTAATAAGTATAATAAGTGTATAATATAAACAGACTTAACCAAATAGCGTTCATACTTACAAAGGGACTTTCTCGTATACAGAGTATAAAGGAAGTATTGTAATCGTGTTCAAAAATCACCTGAAATTTCGACAGTTTTCATCGTTTTACACTTCAGTACTTAATCATATACGGAATATACCGGACTTATTTTAATCGGGCAAAAATAATAAATGCAGATTGATCAAAGGTTTGGCGTTCTACGCGTAATCAAGTCGGTAAAACTGGTCTTTGCAATTCTGTCCGAATGTCTGTGTGTGTTTATGTGTGTCTGTAAACACGATAACTTGAGTACCATTATAGCTAGGTTGATGAAAATTAATATGTCACGTATTATATCAAATTTGTAGTTCTGTATAAAATTTTCAGCGATTTCCGGTAACAGAAAGTGGAACCTATTCTACGTTTAACTTTTTAAAAGCCTATAACTTTAGAACTGTTTCAAATAGATACATGCAATTTCACACAGAAGTACAAAATCTAAGTCTTTACCTTCTCTCAAATTTTGAGTAATTACTGTTGACCGGAAGTACTAATTTACGCGATTTCCGATTTCTCAAAGGGTTTATTATTTTTGTATCAATGCAACGCCCCTCCCCCACCCACCCACACCAAAAAAAAACCCATTAAATCTGTTTCCTTACTAATGTATAGTAGGCATATATCAATTGTTTTCAATAACACTGGTAACATTTTTTTATTAAAAATAAACCAGGTTAACTTAATTATGACTAGTTATCAGCTCAGCTTAAGTAAACCATGGGACTGTGTGGCCTAGTGGTAGAGTGCTAGACTTCTAACCTGAGAGTCACGAGTTCG